CCTTACTAAAGAGAATTGAAACTCTGGTAATAAAAGCACCAGTAAACAAAGTCTCAAATAACCATGTATTTAAAAAAATAAATTTAAGAGGAGAAGCTCTGGTGGCTTATTCAGTAAAGAGTTGTGCCACTAAAGGTAATGGACACATGGAGTGAAAGGAAGACATATTGGTGCTTATGGTAGAACTCCCCTTAAAGAGTTCTTCCCTTGAGCATCTTGCTTAACTCCTTTTTGTAATTGATTTTGTATTTGAAAACTATAACAATGCGTGTGTAAATTCTACTTCTATTCTGATTATACAATTTCAAAGTAGATCTTCTAGTCACTATTACTATATGTTATTTTGGCATGTGAATGCTAGTAGTTTGAATAGTGAGTTTGAGAATTTATGTACTCTCTCTCTAGTCTCATTGCTCTCAAGTCAGAACCAACTCATTGCTGACCCTCCAGCGCATTTTCAGAGGTTGTAAATCACTCAGAGGAGATTACCCATCTTTATGTCAAAAAGATTAGATGGTGACAGTGAACTGCTTGCCTTTGAGTTAGCTGCTCAACTCTTTATTCACTGAGCTGTCAAACCCCCGGGACAGAATATGTAAATTTTCCTATCATGTTCTAGTACTATTTTACTATTTTGTTAGCCACTAGTCATGTTTGGTTTTCTAATTTTAAATTATTCTTAATCATAAAAAAATTAGTTTCTTATGCACACTAGCTAAATTTCTTTTTTGCTTGCTTTGTTTTTGGTATCATTGTATTGGATCTGACTGGCACAGGAGGAGATTGCCCTCCTTCTCCAGAAGAGAACCTGGTGGATTCAAACCACATGCCTTTGGAATTGTATTTCAGTTTGTTGACTCTAGGCCATCAGCGTTCCCTACACTAGCTACATTTCAACTGTTCAATAGCTCCTATGAGTAGAGATTGCTATCGTGGTAGCACAGGTAGGTTCTACCATGCTGAGCACTATGGACGTAAAACATTTCATCATTGCAAAGATTTTTAGAACTTAAGAGCTTGTGCATGAACAAGACCGAAACCCTGTTGTTTTGTGTTTTTTTTTTTAATTCTTTTTACTCCATAGCAAATTGTGGAAATATAATATTAAAGAAAGATAGGCACAATAAATAAATACTGTAAATATGTTCCCTGTTATTATGAATGCTTTGAGTTTTTAAAATTTATTTCTGGAAGATAAAGTAATGATTTAGACTGAATCTGGATGAAAGATGTTTCCTAATGTGTGTTCAATCCAGGGAGAAAACGATCACCTGATGCTGGTCATTCACCCACCAGTTTTATCTTTTTTGGACATGCAAACATTGATGGGCAGTAGTATTCCAATGGTTCCAATGGTAGGCTGTGGCTACTGTTTTGTTTCAGTTTCACACCTGAGATTTGTAGTATGTCCACTAAAATCCTCTAAACTTTTTCATGTCTTTTAAAATTTTTTAAAAATAATTATAATTAAAGTTTCTAGAGACTTTGGATTTTCATTCATTCATTGTTGCACTTTTTTCCCTGCCCACCCCTCTCCCCCAATTCAGACTTCTCTTTGAAAAGTAAAAGAAAAAGTCTTTCATTGTTATACAATCCCTTCCACCAAGTCCACTCCACTGTGCAGCCTTCATTCTGGACTCCTGTCATGATAATAATATCTAATAATATATCTCTTTTAAACAGTCCTCTCCCTCATCTGTTTCAATGCAGTATACATTATTTATCCCTTCTTTCTCAGTCTCTCCTCAACCCCATTGTCAGTCGTGTTTTACAACAGTGGCACTATGCAATATTTGTCCTTTTGCGACTGGGATATTTCACTCAACATAATGACCTCCAGGGTCACCCATTTTGTATACTATTTCGTGAGTTCCTTGTTTTTCAATGCAGCATAGTGTTCCATTGTGTGAATATACCAGAGCTTCTCTTTCCATTCGTTTGTTGATAGGCACTTGGGTTGTTTCCAACTCTAAAATTTTCTAAACTTTTTCTTTCTTGTTTTTTGGGAGACGGAAATATCAGAAAGATGTATGGAAGAGGGATTACAGTAAGAGAAAGGTCTCTTAAAAACGTAGAAACTTTTCTCTAAGTTTGAGAATAGTTCTGTTCTTTCACTGACTGAAGTTGTAGAGTAAACTTTGTTTATTACTATAGAAGTTGTTTTTCCAATTTTTTAAAGTTCTAATTAGTTTAAGCAGCAGTTATCAGTATTTTATATGTAAGCAACATGTTATTGTTGTTAAGTGCTACCCAGTAATAGTCAACTCATAGCGACTCTATGGACAAAAGTCTTGAACATGAAAAACTGATCTTTTCTCTAAGTTCATAGAAGTTCTGGAGGCAAGCTATTTCTTTCGGAAGTGGATGCCACTCTTGCTTCCAAGTCTGTTTTAATTTGGGAGCTCCACCAAACACTTTCCACCATGGCTATCCATTATCACGTTGACGCATCAATGTCACAGTTTTTATCCTCAAGGCAACACAAATTGCCTTTCTACAGCAAATTGCCAGATCATATTTATTCTTAATGTTAGAATTTAAACTTAGCTATAAATTGTTTGAAAATTTTCTTGGTGCAGAAGAGGGAAAAATCCATCCAGAAATATAATTGCTTATTGTATTTCTCTGTCTTGATTTGGAAGAATCTGTCATTTTCTTGCCATTATTTCTCCTAGGTTTCATGCAGTAGTTAATTGTGAAGAATGCACTAAAGGTACTAGACAGTGATGAATACACAAATAGGATGGGTAATATATAATAAGTATAGTAAATATTGATTTGGGGATGCATAAACATTTCTGAAATTTCATAGACATCTCCATAGTGGAAACTGCCATTTAGATCTTTGCTTAATTTGAGAGCTAATCTACAGTCTCAATTTCCATTAAATTGTGTAATAGAGTTTTCTCATGGTTTGTCCTCCATATATGTACTTATTTATACAATTTAGAAGAGCCTTTGTCTTACAAAATCTGTTACTGTGAGTAACAACATTATTCTCCAGGTATACACTGCTTATCTGATAGGCCAGAATATGGCATATTCGTTCATCAGTTCTTTTTCTACTAAATGCATATTAAGAGTTAGCTTCTCACATTTGTCTTTCAAAAGCTTCTTTCCATTAAAGCAATTAGAAAACTGATAATTACACAGACTACCAGAGTGTTCACAATATTTAATAAGATGGAAATACATGCTAAAATAAGGTTTTTTCCTGTGTATGTAGGGTACGTAGTCTTCCCTACAGAGCTACTACCTGGACGGATGATTCTCCAGAGCATAATCTTTCTTTGGTGTGCTTTGGACATAATTGAGGGCATAACTGCTGAGATAAAATTATTTAAATAAGGGAAAAATGTTGATATTCGTAAGAATTAAAAATTCTAGGTTGTTCTTGAAGTTAACATTACATTAGATGATAAGCAAATATTTCATAGGTATTATTTATTGAGTGGAGAGGAAGCATTTGCCACTCAAACTTAATAAAACATTTCATTTCAGATATAAATGTTATTATTTTATTATTATTAATGCAGTTCAAGGGACAGCTTACTGCTATCTGAACTGATGAATAGCTGACCTTCCATCAAGATTTTGGAAGCTGTAAATCGCATGGGAGGGGATTGCCTATCGTTGATGGATTTGGTCTGCCAGAGAGGCACTGCCTTTGGGTGAGGTTAGCAGTACTGTACTGCTCCTTATGGGCTATACTACCACAGTGATTGAAAAAAAAAAAAAAGAGAAAAACCAACACAAAAAAACTAACCAAGTAACTCAGTGCTTTCCAGTCACAACCAACTAATAGACGACCCTCAAGCAAGTTTTCAAATGCAGTAAGTCATATGGAAGGAGATTGCCTATCTTTCTCCCAGGGAGTAGCTGGTGGATTTGAACCACATGCATTTGGGTTGGCAGCACAACTCCCTTACGGACTAGACCAACAGAGCTCCCCAACAGATCAGATGGGTACTCAGAAAAAAAAATCATTTTCATTTTTTTTCTGTGTATTTCAACTTGTTTTTAGTTCTATATTTAAAATATTTGAAAAATGAAAGTGATAGTTCAAATAAAAATACAGGATGGTTTTTAAAAATGGTTCATTTGCCAAAGAAGTGTTGGATGTTGTGAACACCATTCCAACTCATTATCTCCCCAGTTGACAGAGTAGATCTGGCCCCTAGAGTGTTTATTGGCTGTAATCTTTACTGTTGTTATTAAGTGCCGTCAAGTCGTAGGCGACCCATAGCAACCCTATGAATGAAAGTCCTCAACATTTGTGTGACTTTAATCCTTTCTCCAGATTCATAGAGTTTCAGGAGGCAAACTATTTCGTAAGTGGATGCCACTCTTGCTTCCAAGCTTGTTTTATTTGGGGAGGTCCACCAAACACAGTCCGCCGTGGGTAACCATTAACGCATTTGACAGTCACAGTGTTTAGCTTCACAACAACCACAAGTTACCTCTATACAACAAGTGGACACCCACACCAGGGCTATACGATCTAGAATGTTTGAACAAAAACAGTGAAAAACAGGCCTGAGGGCCACGAATTAAAAGTCACCCACCTTTGGCTTGGTAGCATCACCTTTTGTCCACTAGACCAATTGATCTCTCTCTATGTTGATGTTAGTGTTGTTAAGTGCTCTCTAGTCATAGGTGACTCATATCAACACTGTGAATGAAAGTGAAAAGAAAAGAAGAAGAGCTTTGATGGTGTAGTCTGTAAGGAGGTGTGCTGCTAACCCAGAGGCTGAATCTCTTTGGCAGTTCAAATCCACCACAGTTCTGTGGAATAAAGAAGTGTTTACAGCTTCAGAAGCCTGCTGGAGGGTCAGCTCCAAGTCAGTTTCTATTCATGGCAATGAAAAAGAAGAATCTTTACAAAACTAGATAAACAGGTAATTCCTAGAAACATTAGATGGCTATAAACTGCTAGCATTTCAGTTAGCAACCAAGTGCAAATCATAGATATTCAGCTTAAGTAGTGAATTGTTAAAGGCTTTGAGAAAAATAAGGCTTTGTGGTATATTTTTAATCCTAATGGTTATATCCTGTTGTAAGGAGTTTTCTGATTGTCATTTCAGCAATGAAGTCTTACACTCCATATTTCATGCTCCTGTGGAGTGCTGTTGGGATAGCGAAGGCTGCCAAAATCATCATCGTGCCGCCAATTATGTTTGAAAGCCATATGTACATTTTCAAGACACTAGCCTCGGCTTTGCATGAGAGAGGCCATCATACAGTGTTCCTTCTATCTGAAGGTAGAGACATCGCTCCATCTAACCATTACAGCCTCCAGCGCTACCCGGGGATCTTTAACAGTACCACTTCGGATGCTTTCCTGCAGTCTAAAATGAGAAATATTTTCTCTGGGAGATTGACAGCAGTCGAACTGTTTGACATACTGGATCACTATACTAAAAACTGTGATATGATGGTTGGCAACAGCGCCCTGATTCAGGGTCTGAAAAAGGAGAAGTTTGATCTGCTGCTGGTGGACCCCAATGACATGTGTGGCTTTGTGATAGCTCATCTTCTAGGGGTTAAATATGCTGTATTTTCAACTGGCCTCTGGTATCCTGCTGAAGTAGGTGCTCCTGCTCCGTTAGCTTATGTTCCAGAGTTTAATTCACTCCTCACAGACCACATGAACTTGCTTCAGAGGATGAAAAACACCGGCGTTTACCTCATTTCCAGACTAGGAGTCAGCTTTCTGGTTCTTCCCAAATATGAAAAGATAATGCAGAAGTACAACCTGCTGCCAGAGAAGTCCATGTATGATTTGGTTCATGGGTCGAGCCTGTGGATGCTGTGTACTGACGTAGCACTGGAATTTCCAAGACCTACCCTGCCTAATGTTGTTTATGTAGGAGGAATCCTAACCAAACCGGCCAGCCCACTACCAGAAGTAAGGTTTGCTGAACTCTTTGGTAATTTTGTTTTTTTAATATAAAGTCATTTTGATTTGGGGGGAGAAATCATATTGGTTATTGCACTGTTTCCTGAGAAGGATTTCCTACTTTAAATGAACATTTATGTGATACCAGGAGAGAGTTCTACCATATGATCTATAGACTAGCAAGCAAACAGATTTTTTTTATTAAGTAATAGCTACAGTATTTGTTGAAGGAGCTCTGATAATGAAGTATGTGTTCAGCTGCTAACCAAAAGGTTAGCCGTTTGGATCCACCAATCCCTCTAAGGGATAGTTAGGTAGTCTCCACCTATAAAAAAATTTGTGGAGGGTTGCCATGAGTTGCAGCTGGTGAGAAGGCAGTGGGTACACACTGGGTATATTGAGAAGACACCGTGGTGGCGCAGTTGTTAAACACTCAGCTGGTAATCAGAAGTGCACTAGGTTAGTTCCATCACCTCTTTGTGAGGAAGATGTGGCAGTTATTGGAAACTCTGTAACCTTGCTCACTGCTATGGAGTGGATTCTCACTCATAGTGACACTACAGACATACTAAAACTGCCTCATGGGCTTGCCAAGGCTATGATCTGGGAGTAGATAATTATGGGAGTAGATTCCCTCCTTTTTCTCCAGCTGGCCTTTGGATTAGCAGCTCAGTGGTTAACACACTGCTGTATTCCTTGAAGGTACGTGAGAAGGCAGCAGAACCTACTCAGTGGTAATGGGTTTTCGTACGTGAGGATAATGTTGTTAGTTTAGTTTCTTTAAGGGTAAATGTATTAGCTTTTATTAAAAAAGCAACCTACTAAATTACTTCCAAAAAGCAGCAATCATATACTAGTTGCCATAAATTCAGTTCTAACTCATGGAGAATGCTAATATGCCACTGCAGAATTTCTGACAGTCATAACCACCAGAAAGTTTATGTCTCACAGTCAACATAAGCTGATAACTGATCAAGGTGAAGAGTCAGTTAATTTGAAGCTAGTCAGCAAATGTAGTTTAAGAAAATCATGTCCATTTCAAAGAAATAATTATTGGAACTGGAAGAAAGCCTGTCTGTTCTCCAAGGCAAATACATTTTTGTTTGTTTTTGTTGCTTTGTTATTGTTGTTATTGATCTTCCAGTGGATAGACGCTTTGGTAGTTCTATTCTCCATTTGAGTTAATTAAGTGTCTCAAACCAGCAGCAGTTTATTATTATTTGTAGTTGATTTTCCACTTCTTCTGTCGTTTTCCAGGAAGCTTGACCAAATTTCATGGTTGTCTCTATTAAAAGTGTATCTGAACGTAGTTCTGAAAATAGCCATTCTCATGTAATTTAGTGCTAACTTGTTCCCTGCCCCTCACCTTTGGTTTTGTGACGTTATTACTACTAGACACAGAATAAGGGCAATTATGAGACAGAATTGTTTTATGGAGTAATTATGTGATTGCTTTATATTAACTATATTGTTATGTGCTGTTGAGTTAGAACTGACTCATAGCTGACACTTCAGTGAGGTTAGAGGTTTTCAGAGGCTATAAATTGCATGGGAGGACTCTACTGGAGCAGCTGATATATTCCAATTGCCTGCATCTGGGTTAGAAGTGCAACTCCTTACCCACTAGGCCACTGGAGCTCCCTCCGCAGGTTATATGGCTTAGTGGCAAGAAGCTGTGCTGCAATCCCGAAGGCTTTGGGTTCGAGGCCATTGGTTGCTCCAGAGAAAAGGATGGGCAATCTCCTCCTGTGTGATTAACTGCCTCTGAAAACCCACCAGAGGGTCAACTACAGGTCAGTTCCAACTCTGTAGTACACAACAACAAAAACAACCACTTTTAATTAAAAATATATGTGTTGAATAACAACTTGACATTTTCTATAACATGGAAGCATTGAATGACCAGACCCATTGCCTGAACAGCTCCAGCATTTAAAATAGATGCTTTAGATAGAGACCAAAAATGCCCAGTTGTTCTCTGTGAAGTCCACCTGTAAAGGTGAGAGGTTACTCTCAGTTTAATCTCAGTTTTTATGAATTTCCCTAAGTTCATTAGTACCAACCAATAGCTGACCTTTTGATGGGTTTTCAGAAGCTGTTAATCGCATGGGACAAGAGTGCCCAACCTTCTCCCAGAGAGCAGCTGGTGGATTCAAACCACTTCCTTTAATGTTACAGTCCAGTTTCTTACCACTAGGCCGTAAGGACTCCAATTCTACTATTTGTCCCTTCCTAAATGTAGCTAAAATACCACTACTTGGAAGCAACTTCTAAAAGAATTGGAGATCAATTCTATCTTTAACTCAGTAAACCATGTTATAATAGTATACCCTGTTCCCTCCAAGTCTTCACGTTTTCACAACTAGAGCTCACTCCTATTCTGCCTATCCCTTTTTTCCCTTGATGGTTTAGCTCTTCTTAAGTTATCTCCCGATGGAATAAGTAATAAAAAAGTATCATCTTATTTCTTTCCCACTCTTCAATCTATGTTCTTTTTTTCCTTAAGTTGTACCAATTTGAATTGTTAGTATATAGAGTCATATTTCATACTTTGTTTTCTATACTGTGCCCTTTATTAAGATGTCCCTGTATAAGTGAATTTTTAGTTGAGTTGTTGGTAATGTAAGTGTAACTTTTTCCCAGTGAATCCCTCAGCCCACTGATGTTCTATTTACTTTTATTATTTAAAGCAGTGCTCAAAGTGAATTGTTGATTTGTCGTAATTTGCAGTGCGACACTGACTTATTTTGTAGGTTTCTCTCTTGTTTTCTTTCTCTAATGATTCTCTTGAAAACATACTTATTTTTAATAATAACCGCATTAGCTTTTCAAACCATAACTTGGGTAATACACACAGCACACATCGATGCCTTATATGCAGATGGACACATCTAGTTTGTTCGTTGTCGTCCAAATTCTGTTAGGCTATGAGTATGAAAGGTACTTTTTAGTTCAGTGTGCTTTATAGGACTTTCTTCAGTAAGGTGTGTCTCGATGATGATGGTTCTTATTTCTAATCTTTATTCTGTTAAAGTTTTTTATGTTTATGAACGTACAAGTTTCTGTTTGAATTTGCCTAGTCGACTCATAGGTAAAATAAACAGTGTCTTTGGGTTCTGTTACTGAGTTTCTCAAATGTCTGTTTTCTTTGCAGGGGATGGTTGTGATACTGAAACAATAGGGTCCAGCAAGTGATGCCTTGTTAAAACAAGTGGGTTTGTAGAACATGTGATTCACTTGTTATAATAGCTTAATTGTAATTCTCTTGACATCTGGCACTGGAAATGGAGTAGGTATTTCTGATGTCTAGAAGTGATTTGACAGTGGAATTTGAATTTCACAACTTATGAAGGGTAGGGCAATTTTCTTGAAGACCATTTTTAGACGCTTTCATGGATGTGGAGCCCAAGGAAACTTAAGAGGCCACCTAGTTCATGCCATCATATTATTTCTTTTTCTCCTCAAAAATCTCCTCTAATTTTTTTCAGATGAGGAAATATGGTACCTTATTCAAAGCCATACAGCTTGTTGCAAAGCTAAGTGTGTTTCACATTGTGTTCCTGTGTGTGAAATCTCTGCGTATCAGTGTTCACTTTACACTTAAAACTGTACAAAACTAAGCAGACTTATTTAATATTTTTTATGTGATATCTCAAAGGCTTTGAGGGCTTACTATGAAAGTCAAACTAAAATATTTGAATGGTTGCTATACTTAACTGAAGATTTGGTAATAGAAATCAGCCTTTTGCTGTTGTTTTATTCCATTGAGTCAACTACAACTTAGTAAACCTATCAACAATGGCTCTGAGACTTGCCTTGTCCTGAAGTAACCTAAGCATTTCTGACACACCTGACCTCATTTCCACAGTCGGTGTGCCAATCTGTCTCATCCAGGGTTCTCTTCTTCTGTGCTGACCATCTACCCTTCCAAGCATGATGTCCTTCTCTAAGAACTGATCCTTCCTGGTGACATGCCCAAAGTATGTGGACAGAGCTTCAGAATCCTTACCTTCAAAGAGCAAACTGGTTTTCACCTTCTTGAGATATTTAGTCTCTACCTGTTTGTTCTCTTGGCAGTCCATGGTATGTTTAATAATCTTCTACAGCTCCACACCTCCTCCAAGGCATCGATTCTTCTTCTGTCTTCCTTGTTCATTGTCCAGCTCTTAGACACATAGCAAGCAATTGAGAAGACTGTGTCCTGGATCAGGTGCACCTTAGTCTCTAAACTGACAGCATTGCATTTTAGCACTCTGAAGAGATCATTGACAGCAGATTTTTTTTCACAGTGCAGCTCTTCTTTTGATTTCCTGACTACTGGTGCCGAGAGTGTTGGTTTTATACCCAAGCGAGGTGAAATCATTAACAACCTCAATCCTTGATACTGCATATTGACCTGGTGATGAGAATCTCTATTTTTTTGTTTTCTGAGATGCAATCCATATTGAAGGTTGCAATATTGTTCTTTGACTTTCTACAGCAAATACTTCAAGTCCTCCTCAGATGCAGCCAGCAAAGTTGTGTCATCTGCCCAGCATAGGTTGTTGAGAGTCTTCCTCCAATCCTGATGCCACATTCTTCTTCATAAAGTCTAGCCTCCAAAATGATCAATTCCACATATAGATTAAAAAGGTATGGAGAAAGGATATATCCGTAAGATACTCCTTTCTTGATTTTAAACTATACGCTATTCCCGTGCTCTGTTTGCGCAACAGCTTCCTGGTCTCAGTATGTTTCACTTGTGCAGAATTAAATGTTCTGGTATTCCCATTTCTCTCAACTTTTGCTACTGTTTATTGTGATCCACACAGCCAAAAGCCTTTGTATAGTCAATAAAACACAAATAGACATCCCTCTTGTATTTTCTACTTTCAGCCAAGATCAATCTGACATCAGCAATAATAATCCCTAGTGCCATAGCCTCTTCCAAATCCAGTTTGTATTTCAGGCAGTTCTCTGTCGGTGTACAATTCTAGTTGTTTTTTGATAAGTTTTAGCAAGATTTTCCT